AGAGAGAGAGAGGTGTTGTTTATCTCTGCTGAGGATCGTATACGTGACCTTGACTTCATCCGGTTTCATTTCTTATAATTGTTACATTTTATTTTATTTTATTATTTATTTATTTATATAATATGATGTATAGGGTTTTATAATAATTTTTTCTATTTATTTTATCAAAATAAAATTGTTTTATCCAGTTAAAATTAAAATTGATCAGAAACATATATTTGTATTTTCAGCACAATATTAGCCTATCAATAATAGCCAGTTTGCATGTTCCTGTTCATTACCATTAAATTGGTTACATAGCCTAAAAAAATTAAAAAAAACATAAATTCTGCACAATTTTATTTTAGGCTATAATATATTCATATAATTTATAAATTGTATAATTAATTTTATTCTATTCATTTTATTAAAATAAAATAATATCCAGTTAAAATAAAAAATGTATCAAAAGCATACATTTTGTTTGTATTTTTCAATATTTTGCATGTTCCTGTTTATGGATTAGGCTATATGTAGAATAAAATAAAAAGAAAAAATTGTTATTTTATAATTTATTCATATAAGCTATACTTATTTGATCAAAATAAAATAATTTTATAAAAAAAGACATTATATTTGTATTTTCAGCAGACTATCAGCCTATTAATAATGCCCAATTTGCATGTTCCCATTCATCACAAAGAGAATAAAAAAAGTATAATTCTGTACATTTAATTTTATATTTATATAAAATAATATATATTTAACGTATTTTATTCTGTTTATTAAAATAATTTTTTTTATTAAAATAAAATAACATTTTATCAAAAACATACATTTCATTTCTATTTTTCAGCAGAATATTATCCTCTTAATAATAGCCAATCCGTAGGTTCCCTTTCATCAACATAGGATGGGTTACATGGAATAACAAATGAAATTCTGTACAATTTATGTTAGAATTAATTTATATAATGAATGTATTTTATAATTTATTTCATATTTGATCAAAATACAATAGCATTGTATCAAAAACTATTTTATTTGTATTTTTCAGCAGAATATTAACCTAGGCTATTAAGAATAGCCACATACATTTTCTTTTTCACCGCACCATAATGGGTTGCATGTTATTTGTCCATTTACATTATTAGCATGCTTTTCAGTCATGTAGTTTGTTCTAAATGCTTAATAATGCTTTGATCTCTCTGACGTCATAATTAAGGGTCTGACGTCATAATCAACTGGCCACACGGTTTAAACTAAAGTGTCTCTTACAAGTTAAGTGTCTTATCTTTACTGTTCAGCACAAATATTGATTGTAAAGAATGTGTGGTACGATCTTATTTTCAGAACGTGATTGTCACTATATATGACCTGTTCATTTTAGATGACATAAGCCTAATGAAAAGACTTGTGACAAACGTTATGGAGTTATTTGACCCTTCAAATGTTAAGAGATGTACTTCAACCTCCAGCAGAAGTTTTGTCCAGTATTATATTATATCATTTTGTCGATATCTGTCAGATCATTTGTGCTATAATGACTCCATCAATGAACCAATCAATCATATAGGCTACCACGCATGATACAGAATTTAAAGATAGGCTACAGCGCCACCTGTTGTCATTGTTGGTAACGACAGCATTGAAGATAAAATACAAAATCTGTGTATTTATGTGCATGTGTAACGAATGCTTGTACTTCGTTTAGACATCCAAAACAAGTTGTTAGTAGTAGCCTATATAATATGCAAAACATGGTGGTAACTAAGTAACACCAACAATAAGAAAGTCTATAGTTTCAATTGTTTTATTTTTCTCAGGCAAACCAGTTCACGACAGGCAATGCATCAAGATACGAACCAAAATTAGGATTGCAGAATACATTTTTTAAAGTTTTTTGCCATTTTTATTTTTATAAATCTCAATTAGCCAATCTAAAAATGCGTCATGAGAAATTAAGCATTGTATAAAGAAATTTGGATGGCTAGTTGAATATAAGCTATCCAACGTATATTTATTATTTTTCCACAATCACTCTAAATTTGACGAATTGCATGTGATTCTCTGGACATGCGCAATCTTGGGAAACCCATAAATGTCCAGACTGAAGTTGTGTTGCAATTTGGAGTTTAAATGAAGGACTTTATAAAGCATGTCGGGTCAAGTCACAGGTGGTTTTAGGAAGTTGTTGGGAGTCCAAAATAGAGAACAGGTCCGTAGTGCAGGTCTTTTAGGAGATTCCATGGGGTTGTCAGGCTTTGTTTGGATTGGATCGGTAATGGTATGGGTTTGCCACTCCCTGTGGGGAATTCCCACTTTAGCCGGATTAAAAGCCGCATTGACTCCGCCTCCGGTGCGCTTCACATTACCGCCAGCACGCTTCACAGCAGTTTCATTAATTTACAGAGTTTGGCTCGCACACTTTAGCTCAACCTGACGTTTAAAAGCCATCGCGTCTGGAGTACCATCGGTGGTGGGATGAGAAACAAAAGCGAATGTCTCTGGTGTCATAATGTCACGGTGATTTTGCGTTCTTACATCGCTACATTTATATACTGACGATACACATCAAAGCTTCGAAATGGCGCGAAGCGGCGACGAGAAACAAGGCAAACTCGATTTCGACGAAAGTCGGATCGACTCCGGAATCGACTCGTACAAATCGATATCCAGAGAACAGGACGGGAGTTCAGACAGCTCTGAGGATAAAGATAAAAGCTGCGCTACAGACGAGAGACTGGACTCTGCTTACGTCTCTTCATCGTTAACAGTGGACAGTTTGGGGGATTTAATCGAGAAATGCAGCATTTCTGAATGTGAAAGCGCGACGGACTGTGAATACACCGAAGAGGAAGTCAGTTTCTTAACCACTGTTACAGAAGATGGAGACACGTACGTTTATAAAACTCCCCTTCATTGATAAGTACCCATGCATCACCTGAGTGCAGTTCAAATGTGTTTTGATGTCTAAATATTGACTATTTGTGAGTATAATTAACGCGCAATAAGGTCCCGACTCGAGGGAGTTCTTAGACACGCGCGCCGCGGAGTAATATTGTACAACACGTTCTATATATGCATTATTCTAAAATGGTTTATACATGATAAAAAAAAAAATAGAATTTTAAATTCTAAAATATTAAAGAAACAAGTTATCGTTAACTTTTTGAAAGGCATTTTTAAGTGCTGTTAATAGTGTAGGCATGCAGCATTTCTGAATGTGAAAGCGCGACGGACTGTGAATACACCGAAGAGGAAGTCAGTTTCTTAACCACTGTTACAGAAGATGGAGACACGTACGTTTATAAAACTCCCCTTCATTGATAAGTACCCATGCATCACCTGAGTGCAGTTCAAATGTGTTTTGATGTCTAAATATTGACTATTTGTGAGTATAATTAACGCGCAATAAGGTCCCGACTCGAGGGAGTTCTTAGACGCGCGCGCCGCGGAGTAATATTGTACAACACGTTCTATATATGCATTATTCTAAAATGGTTTATACATGATAAAAAAAAAAAATAGAATTTTAAATTCTAAAATATTAAAGAAACAAGTTATCGTTAACTTTTTGAAAGGCATTTTTAGGTGCTGTTAATAGTGTAGGCGCTGCACAGTGATTCGGAAACAAGTGTTTCGTTAATTAGTGCTAAAAATAGTTAAGTGAAATACATGTCCACCATTTTACTGTAGCTCCCATTGGATCAATATTTGTATTGCACTGCAACATTCAGTTATGCCAGGGACTATATTTTCTAGCGGAAGAATGGAACTTTGAACTGAAAAATAGTGTATTTGTAGTATTTAAAAAAATATATAAAAAAAACCCTTCATTTTATAAAAGCAATAAGGCACATTAGCACGTGTATTGTGAACATAATCAAACTCAAAGGGGTTGCAGATAGGCCTATATTTGTATCTTGTTGCTTAAATTTAATCCAAAACTATGCAATGATTTAGGTGCCATAGCCAAAATGTCTATAAGCAGACAAAGAAAGAAGGTCTGCGTTCTAAAAAATGTCTAAATGTGATGTATGTTAAGTCATAACAGGGGATAAAATAAGTTAATATTTTTTTTAAGCAAGCAGCCGTCTTTAGTGTCGTTTTAATGTAATTTTAATCCAGGAACCCATTTTTAATGTGCTTAAATTCATATTCAAAACAAAATGTACTCTGCAGCTTAAAATGCTAGGCTGATGGATAGATAGATGGCATGGAGAAAGATGAATGGTGTTCAGAAAGAGTGCAGGATATTGCTTCAACCCTTTACTCGCATTTAATGGCCTAGATTTTGTTTAGCAAGGCATTAAATGTTCATTCTCCACATGTTATGTTGTCAAACAGAGAGGACTTTGGGAATCTGGCACTCGGTGTAAAAAGTTTAACTGGATGAGAGAAACGATGAAGTCCGTTGTATGAGTTTTCATAGAGGACCTCATAAATAAGGCCCATATAACTGGAAATAAAGATGGCATTGAATAATAACTTCCAATGCACTTCATTCATTTTGAAGTTCAAGTGCAAACAAATGAAGGAGCTCAATTTTAAATGCACATTAATTTTAGCAAATAAATGCATTTATTTGAATTGGAGAAAAAAAATTTAAATGAATTATTTTTTCAAAAATGGTCAACTATTGGTAGACAAGAAACTAAAATAAAAAATGGTCTAAGCTGATTAATTTTCCAGCCTGTTTTAGTTTGCTGAGTGACACATTCTCATGTGACCGATGAAGTTTTGACTACAGTAGCAGGCTTTTCGGTTTAAACACTACAGTCAGTTAACAGACGTCTAGAAACTGGATCTGCCGTTTATGGCGCATGAGAAAGCAGAAGTATGCAGACAAGCAAGTGGAATTCCCCTCGTTGGGTCAGAAAGCACATTGTGATGGCAGCTTTTTGGAAAGTGCAAAGCCTTTGTTATAAACACACATTCGTGTGCTTTTAATACTTATTTACCCCAAAAGCACATGTCACAAACATGTTTATGCAAGCAGTGACCTTTACACCAGATCGTGGTTCAACGTGTAACGTATAAGTTCAAAAACATACGCAAACATGCACCGCACAAGTGGGCACACGCACAGCCTGGTTAATATCAACCTGTTTTCATTTCTGCATTCTGCAGTGACAAACCAGGATGTAAATACGGTTGTTATTTTGAGAACATCTCGCATTTTGATTCATCCTGAATCATAGTGGCCTGCTAAGGTTTACCTTTGGCCTGCTTTTGTTGCTGTTGCAAGAAAAAAAACTCCTTTGTCTTTTCCCTGAATGTCATCAGAGTGAAGATGATGCTTATAAAGAAATGCCAATGGCCGTATGAAATCCCCAGGCACTCCGGAAGAGCAAATACACTAAGGAACTTTTTGAGGAGTAGTTCTCCAAAAAATGAACCATTTACAATAAGTTCCAAGAGTTTTTTATCAAAATAGTTCTTCGTAGTGCATGTTTTCATGGTGGACTCTCATAAATAAGGCCCATATAAAAGGAACAAAAATTATGTCTTTGAGTAATATCTGAACTATTTGAATAATAATTAACATAGCTCTTCATTCCTGTTGCGGTACAAGCAGTGCTGGGTAGATTACTTACAAATTGTAGATTAGAAATTACATGATGAACATGAACATAATCTGGATTACACATTAGGTAATGTAGTCTAACTACTTTGTGATTACTTTTAGATTACTAACGCACGCATTTATCGCATAGACTTGAATGTTGAGAACATCTCGCATTTTGATTCATCCTGAATCATAGTGGCCTGCTAAGGTTTACCTTTGGCCTGCTTTTGTTGCTGTTGCAAGAAAAAAAACTCCTTTGTCTTTTCCCTGAATGTCATCAGAGTGAAGATGATGCTTATAAAGAAATGCCAATGGCCGTATGAAATCCCCAGGCACTCCGGAAGAGCAAATACACTAAGGAACTTTTTGAGGAGTAGTTCTCCAAAAAATGAACCATTTACAATAAGTTCCAAGAGTTTTTTATCAAAATAGTTCTTCGTAGTGCATGTTTTCATGGTGGACTCTCATAAATAAGGCCCATATAAAAGGAACAAAAATTATGTCTTTGAGTAATATCTGAACTATTTGAATAATAATTAACATAGCTCTTCATTCCTGTTGCGGTACAAGCAGTGCTGGGTAGATTACTTACAAATTGTAGATTAGAAATTACATGATGAACATGAACATAATCTGGATTACACATTAGGTAATGTAGTCTAACTACTTTGTGATTACTTTTAGATTACTAACGCACGCATTTATCGCATAGACTTGAATGTGATTATTTAAAAAAAAAAAAAAAGAAAAGAGAAAATATTTCCTCTTTTATCAATATCATGAAATGCATTAAATGTTACATTACAGCAGGGTTTCTCAAACTGGGGTTTATGACAAAACTGTAGTTTTTTTTATTTTTATGAAAAGCTAATAATGAATGAAATCATAAAAATGCCAAAACCTTGGGAATCCCTTTATTACATGAAGAAACATGGCCAAAGTCTTCCAGGTTTGAAATATTTTTGTCCAGACATCCAATATTAATAATTAGTGAAGGTCACTGGATATGTCGAAGACATAGTATTACATAACTATGCATTGATAGTGTTCAGTAACTTGCATAATTATTAGTCTCATGTATATAAGTGGTAGGTTAATTTAGAAAGGAAAATTTAAAAGAAAATAAAAGAACGGCGGTGTATCAATAAATTATGAATAATTTACTGCCATTGTGCATAATATGTAATCATGTAATCCATAAAAAGTAACTGTAATCTGATTATAAAGCAATAAGCCCCAAGAAGCCGTGGTTTACTGTGAATTTATAACCGCGTCGTGCCTAAAACCCCCTTAGCTGTTATAAATTCACTGTAAACCACGGCTTCACGGGGCTTATTGCTTTTATAAAACGGTTATTCCATATACGTAGTAAGGTTTCACAGAATAAAACAGAACAAATAAAGTGTAATAAAAGCACTAAAAGTAATGTGTATAAAAATAAAAGCAGTATTCTTCCACCAGACAATGCTTGCTTTTCAAATGTTTTAAAATTGATCATCCGAGTCTAATATGATCCAGCGGGCCATACTAAAAGACACTGCGGGCCGCCAGTTGCCCATCCCTGATGTAGTTCCTCAGAAACAGGTGTGGTTGCAACAAAGTGGTTGCCGAGCAACACACAGAAGTAAACAAAGGTGTATGTTTGTAGAGTAATTTACAACAGCTTCGAACACGGCTCAACCAATCAGAATCAAGGACCGGAACTATCCATTTTATAATCAGCATTTTAAAATGTAAAATAATCTAGGTATGAGTACGTAATTTTTTTGTAGGAATCCGATTACGTAATCCAGATTACATGTAAACAGTTACTACCCAGCGCAGTACAAGTGCAAGCAAATGAAGGAGCTTAATTTTAAATGCACATTCATTTTATTGGGAATTTGCTACAGCAGTTTGGTGATTACATTTTGCTTAGCTATCAGAAGGCTTGAAATATTGTGCACAAGTCATATCAGTACAGCCCCAGTCCCCATCCACTTTCACTATGTGGGAAAAGAGCAGCGTGAACACTCTTCAAAATCCCTCCTTTGGTGTTTCACAGAACAAGGTCACCAGGTGGAATAAATGATAGCCAAATTTTCTTTTTTTAGATGAACTGAACCTGTTAATTTCATATGCAGCGAAACAATATGATTCATGAACGATTTACCACAATCAGATTAATGACACTGAAGTTGTTCTCACATTATTTACATGCTGAAACCACTCGCTTCTACCTGCTTCCTTCTGGCTTACTGTAAAAGCGAAGACTAGGTTATCGCATGTGGGGAAAGTAGCTGAGCAATTGCACACCTGCGAGGAAATATGGCAGCAGGAGGATGGGAAAAAAGATAAATTAATTCACACTCATTATGTTCATGCATCCTGCATGCATCATTTACTGGTTCTGTTTGTGACTCATCTGAGAGCGAATGGATTTGCTTCATGCAACCAGCCAAAAACATGTCTAGGTAGTCCAAAAGAAAAAAAGAGAGAATATTTTGCATAAAGAAAATAAAGTCTATTTTTAGGACACTTGATATTATGTGTTGATGAAAAACTTCCTTATTTTCCTTATGCAAAATGCAATCTTTTTTTAGGATGAAATGTGACCTGGACCTGTTTTCTTGAGATTCACTCAACTGCAAATCCCTCACTTCATTTGCAACATTTCGATTTTTATGTCTCCACATCTCATCTGTGTTTTAAATCAGCTGCGCTGTAATTTTTGTAGGGTTTTAGTAACCAAACTGGCTCCCTCTGAAGGGTTTTTATCATTTGATAGCAAGACGATCGCTGATACGAATGCTCTTATAATGCGCAAAAGTTCCAGTGTTGCGCAATGGCTGAATGCGTCTGTCGGCGACATGCACTTTTGTGTGGCATATTTCTCAGTATCGTTCGCCCTATTTTTTCCATCACACATTGTGAAATGTGCTGCTTTTAGACTGCGGTTTGCTTGATAGTTCCTTCCCCTAGCCGTTGGCTCTGCTTCAGCTTTTAACCAGCGTCTAACTGGCATTTAACCAGCAGCTTTTTTGTTTGTTTGTGTGTCTGTGTTTTCTAGGATTCTCCATTTGGCCATAATCCACGAAGAGGAATGTTTTGCACGTCAATTGATAGACCTGTTTCCTCCAGAGCTGATGGATATTCAGAACAACTTGTATCAGGTATCACGTTAAGAATCTCAATTGCATAACACATTTTGTTGCATTCAATGGATTGGTAAGCGGTTTCTGCAGAAACCCGTTCTGCTCATGTTTCATGAATAAGACCCTGAAGGAACAGAAAAGCTGTTGAGATCTTGTATGAATGTTGCAATGAGTTTGGTTATTTTTGTTTCCCCTTTGAGGGAAACTCCCTGAGCGCGTATCAAAGAATGATGGGGGTTTATTACACTCGTTTGATAGCCTTGGTTTCAATTGTTATTTTGAAATTTGGGGTTTATCCGGTGACTACAGACGAGGGGCTTTCTGAAGAAACCCCCTACGCAGACTATAAGTGTGATTGTTATAGTTAGAGGAGCAAAATTAACCATTTATTGACTTTTTGTTGGCATTTTGGTAGAAGGAAGCTGTGGCCAAGTCAACAGACTGATTAATATTCACAGTCATGGAAACCTGGAAATATCAATGAATTACCCTCTAACGCTGTGTTAACCATTCACGGTGTGATGTAACATCTAAAATAACCACAGGTGATTATTGTGATTATTTCACCATGGAAAGTGGTGATGCACCTCTGGAATATCGGATGGACTGATGCGTAACTTTCACATTATAATACATCATTTTTGGGGGGAAAGAACATGATAATGTTCTTGCTTTGAAGAAAAAAGAAACATTAAGGGGTTTTCTTTATTAAAAATGCATGCATCAGAGGGTTCAAACTGTGATTTCTAGCCTCAATCTCACTGGAATAGGAACACAAATGTTTCTCGTCGTGCTCTGCTGTAATATATTTTCTCAGAAATCATGAATGAAAAGAAATGCGTCGGTCAAAAGGCTGGGATCACTAGACATTGTGGATCTTATCCAAAAATGTGACCTTTTTTATTCAAAATACTCTAGTAGTTAATATTAACATTGATTCATTTGTCTAGTTTTAGATTACAGTCAATTTGAAATCAAAATCAGCCCTGCTTATCGTCAATGATTCACCAGTACGTGTTATTCAGAGAAAGAAAATGTCGTCATCTTTCATGAAATGTAATAACTTGCTCCGCCTAAAGAAACAACTTTCCTTTTCTGGAAAGGGAAAACCCCCGCATCCAATCGATTCCCGATGGATAAAAATCACACCATCTTTTCCAACATTAAATATCCTGTTTAGGCCCAAAATGTCACATTATTGAAGCACTGTTTGAGGCTGGATTTGATGCTAGTTGGGTTTATTAGATAAGAGGATGTCAGATTTGGGTCTTAAAGCACATCAGGGTGTGAGTCTAAAGGAAACGCAGCACAAATCTGACAGTCAGCACTTAAAGCTGTGAGTAATACTGGTGCTGCTGCGCTGTTACCAAAAGCCACGTAATCAACTAAGGCCAGGCCATTGGACATATTACTCACATGTTTTCTTTTGACACAGTCAGTGTGTAACTCCCAGATTGAGTAAACCTGTGCATGGTCCCTCTTCTTAGGAATAAATGAACCCCAGTTCTTATTGTCCTTCCTGGATGTGATTTAAATCAAAAGTGTCTGTGGATTAATGCCATTCTACTATGCTCTTGCTAACCCACACAGGCTAACTGTCAGATCGAGCATGATGGCCTGAAGCATTGGGGTTGTAATCTTTGCATTTGAGACATGGGGACCGTCCCCAGACTGCACATAACCCAACATATCCGGTTGCATTAAAAAATTAAACCATACTTCGGTTCACATGTACCCTTTTGGCAGATTGGTTTTATATTAATAAAAAAATTTTATAATAAATAAAATTGTATGCATGTATGTATGTGTGTGTCCCTGGAGCACAAAACCAGTCTTAAGTGTCAATATTTCAAAACTGAGATTTCTACATCATCTGAAAGCGGAATAAATAAGCCTCTCCATGTGGCGTGTGAGTACGGGTTCTGGGATTGTGCCAATGAGATGATCCACAACGCCTCGCCCAGCAAACTCGCCAACGTGCTGGAAGCACAGAACTGGAGAGGTGAGAGTCCTCATATTCGTTAGTGAACTGAACAGAGCTCTACTGGGCCTCGCTGAGTGTGTCATAACTAAAAATTACTAAATGGTACTAAAATGATTACAACTAAAAAATAAATAATAATTATAAAGCTAAATAGAAATATTTTAAAAAGCTAATAAAATTGATAAAAGCACATAATTGCTAAAACTAAAATGAAAATCGAAGAAATTAAAAATTTAAACTGAAAATATAAAATAATAATAAATAATATAAAATATTAATAAATACTACAATTGTATATAAATAATACTAATGCTGTTTATATTGTCTTGTATAATGAGTGATAGATTGTCTTGATTATTCATGTGCATGAGTACAAAAGTACAACAGAAACTAATCAAAATGACAGAAGCACATAACAGTAACAAATTTTAAAAAGCTGCATAGAAAAATGCATATGCAAAATGCAATTCATAACACCCTAGCAATTGCGTAACAACATGCTCAAAAACACCCTAGAAACTAATTTAAATAAGTTTAAGTTGAAATATTAAAATGACTAAAAGTGAAATAAAAACATTCAGAAACATGGTTCGCAGATGTATTTACTTGACCTTTGTGAATATAGTCCATGCTAAATGGTATGACACAAAGTTGGATTTTAAGAAAGGAAAATTAAATTAGGAATTAGGGAGAATCAAGAAATTATATATTTACTGCCGTGAATAATATGTAATCATGTAATCCATAAAGTAACTGTAATCTGATTATGAGCATTTTAAGATGTAATGTACTCTAATTACAAGTACTTCTTTTTGGAAACTGATTGCTATAATGTAATCAGTTACTCCGCAGCATTAGTATAATTATGTAGCGTATATGTTTCTGACATCAGAGTTGATACTACTATATTATATACGTGACCCTGGACCACAAAAGCAGTCATAAGGGTCAATTTTGTTGATAATTTTGACCCATACAATGTATTGTTGGCTATTGCTACAAATATACCCCAGCGACTTAAGACTGGGTCCAGGGTCACATATTAATGGAGGTATAATGAGATATGGGCTCTGCTGTTATTGTGCAGGTCTGACGTGTCTCCACGTGGCTGTGCTGCACAAGCATCATCGTCTCCTGCGGCTGCTGATGAAGAGCGCTGTGGATCTGAACATGCAGGTGAGCTGCTGCAGCTGATCTGTTGTGTGAAGTGAAAGCCTTCAGTCTTGTGACCAAACGTCTGTCGGGTTTCTCCTCAGGAGGGGACGAGCGGGAAGACGGCGTTACACGTGGCGGTGGAGCTGCACGACGTGCCGGCGGTGAACCTGCTGCTCAACAAAGGGGCCAATGTAGACGCCGCCATGTTTAACGGCTGCACCGCGCTGCATCTGGCTGTGGGCCGACAGGACGCCGCCATCGCTAACCTCCTGTGCCAAGCTGGAGCTGACAAGATGATCAGAAACATGGAGGACGAGACGGCCCTGGATCTAGCCGACGGCAATGATGATGTGAGGAGACCCAATTAATCGTTTGACAGCACTAATAATAATCGCAATTAATCGCATACAAAATGAAAGTTTTGTTTACATAATATATGTATGTGTACTGTGTATATTTATTATGTCTATATAAATACACACACATGCACGTATATATTTTAGAAAAACAAACAAAAACTTTCATTTTGGATGCGATTAATCGCGATTAATCGTTTGACAGCACTAATTATTATCTAACAAAAAAGCTTAAAAGTTTAACAAAATCTGCAGAGTCAGACAGTGCCTCTTTCAGTCTCAACCAACTCTATATCGATGTTGTTGTTATTATTCTTAATTAAAACTAAAACTGTTTTTGTTAATTGAATTAAGGCTGAAATAAAATATGTATATGTGTGTGTGTATATGAAGTTTATTTGCAAAAACGGATAACTTTTTTTTTTTTCAAAGCTAAATAGAATACAAATATTAGTAAAAATGACAAACAAAACAAAATTAAAGATGAAAAATATAAGTTAAGAATAAAATAAATAAAACTATAATAAACAAAATATGAATAAATTCTATAAAAGTGTATAAATAATACTAATGTTGTTTATAATGTCTTGCATAATGAGTGATAGATTATGTGTTGATTATTAGTGTGCATGATGTGCAACGATGTTCTTATTGAATTCAGGGTTTTAAAGTCAGCATGAAGTCATAACTGACCCTGTGCACTGTCACTGTTTTACTGTAAAGCAGCATACAGTAACTGCATTTGCTCGGTGAGCTTTGCATTAGAAATGGGATGATGTGGTCACCGTTTCTCCTTTTGCTTTTGCAGATTTTGGCCTTGTTCCCCTTCGACGACATTCAGATCATGGGCAGGACTGTCATGAGCTTCTCCTGAACATGTCCGTGGCATGTTCTTCAGTTTTGAAATTTTTTTTTTCAGTTTTGAAAAAAATTGCAGGACTTTGGTCTTGATGATGTACAGCTTTTGGAAAGTGCGTCTGCGTGTAACCTCATCTGTTTATGTCCAGCGGAGATCGGGCTGGTTGTGCCGCAGTAACAGCTTGGAGTCAGGGACATGCGGACGTAACTCGTATTGTATGTAGTCTGTTGAAAAACCTTCATGTCAAACAACACAAATGCATTCTGGTCTATAATTAGCGTTATTTGATGTTTTGTAGCAATACAGTGCTGGTCTAAACAAGATGAGCAAATGAAACACTGCTTTGCAAACGTGTTTTCCAAAAAAAAA